TTTGCTACAAAACCATCACCATTCCTCTGTGATTTTTATTTCATCTTTTGCTATTAATCCTCAGCTTTGCGGTTTTCTTTTCTCTTTTTGTCCTTCCCAAATTAAAATTCTAACCTTTTGGGGTTAATTTGATAAATTGATCGAGAACGCTGCTTAGTAAAGGAGTTGACAACCAAATAATGAACGAGGTGTGTTTTTTTTCTTTCTGGTTTTGTTTAAATATTATTATGGGACGAAATTTCAAAGTTAAAATTCAAATGAAGTTCAGTATACTATACTTGCACTTGCACACAGTGCAGATTCAAAAAGAATTCAATATTTTGCGCATAAGGTGACAATAGCTTCAATTAATCATTAATAGGCTTCTTATCACCGTTATTGGTGTGAGAAAATGGTTGATGTTGGAGAAGAGTCGCAGGAAGTGTTAGCTAATGCAGAGAAAACCAATGTTATATGTGGCTTGTGAGGTTGGCAAAAATCATATATGTTAGATCGATGCGATGTTCCTTTAGGTTAGGTTCTCTCTTTTGTTCTATCCACAGCCCACACTTGCAGCCTTGTATCTCGTGAAACGTTTCACCTGTGAAAAGGGAAAAACTTGAGACCAGCCCAAAGTCAATGACCAAGATAATTGGTTCTGATGAAGGTGGATCACTTGCAATCCATTACGGGGATGAATGGAATCACCATTTTTAGTCAGTCTTTAGGTTTTGTGGCCTCAAAATGTTCTGATCATGCTTATAAAGTAGTTGTTGAAATTGTAAAGCCAACAAAAAAAAGCAAGGTCAATTGGGAGGAAGGTGGTTTGAGAAAGATGATTTGAGAAAGATGATGTCTGTCAATTCCTACACAACTTGCCGTATTTAGAACAACAGCCTTTATCGCTGTCGATAAAAAGCTCTGCTTCACTGGGAGAGATTTTGCTATGCTTCTGTTTTCACAGCATGAAGAATACAGATTCATACAACACAATAATATGTAATGCAGTAAGCAGAAAGCAGCACTCAAAATGTTTGAACATCACATTAAGTCGGGAAATTTTCTGCAAGATTCGGATCAAAACCCATTTCAACAACTATACAATTTTAAAAAGTAGGAGGATTCTAAAACTACCTGAAAATTTGTATTTTTACATCAGAGTCAAACAACATTTCCATTTGTG